CAGAGCTGAAGAGATACTACCAAAAATGAAATCCCACATTTTCATCACGAGAATGTGGTAAACAGATTGTATTTGCAGGAGATTGATCTTGGCTGAACCTAGGGATCAAGGCAGAACATAAGAGAGAAGGTAGTCTCCTTGGTACATAAGACCCAGACTGTTCAGAGCAGTGATTCTCAACCAGGGTGCCAGAGCATCTTGGAGTGCCTTGAGAGCTCTTCAATGTTAGCACTGTTTGGCTTGCAAACATAATTCACAAGATAAACCCAGAAGATAAATTCACAAGAGATTTCAAATAGAAACCCATAGTTGTGGTTTGAGTTGTTTGCAACAGAAAAACTGTGCTATTATTTTCCTGTAGTCAAAAAAACCCCTGTCATAAGGTGGGATAACTTGGAAACTTGAAATTGGCCATCATTCCTTTACAGATGGTTTTGCTCTGATTGTTCCTGTGGGCTTGTATGCAAATACTAGGATATAGGCTATAATTTTCTTTGTTAACTAATAGATATTATAGCATTTGCTTTGGAAGATAATCCATTGCTTAAATAACTATAAAGATTTTGTAAACACATAAGAAAAAAAAGGTAGGTTAAAATTTAGATCTATCAATTTCACTGTCCTTTTACTTTAAAATCCTCATTATTACAGTACATTTTTAGTATCAAATGTTATTCTGTTATTTAGGAGGTTTCTGTAGACAGCTTCCTAGATGTTTATATGTAGAGGACAGTGCGGCCTGCTATTCGCCTGACAACAAATTTATGGATATCCATTTTATATATTTGCAGTAGAAGTTTCCTTCATTTATTTATTGTCAACACCTTTGAGAAATAATAATACAAGATAAAATTAGTTCACAATCTAAACAAACAGAGAATAAATTAATGAAAATATGTATCTTATAATGTTATGCATATAACTGATTAATGAAGTTACTTTGTACCTTTTTATGAAAATCTTCAATGTCTTTCAGCCTGTCATTTATGTGTCTACAAAGATTTGAAGCATGCTCTTGTATTTTTTCTTCATATTGTGAACAAAGGACATTTTTGTAGATCAAAAAATCTTGTTGGAGGGAGTCAATCAGCTAAAAATTTAAAGACTGATGTTACATATACAACAAAGAATATTTTTCTGCAATTCTTTCTACTGGTAATAAATAAGATAGCCTGAAAGCAATGTGCACCAGTTTTCATGATTTGTTCAAACATGGCAATAATTGGCCAAATTTGTTGACTTTTAAACCAAATTAAGTACTTGCACATCTTTCTGAAAAGGAGGATTTTGGAAGAACTTCTTGCCAAAAAACAAGTTTTGTTTATACAAGGCAAAATGTCATCATCTTTGCAGGACAAAACAAATCATAAAAAGAAATTACGTGATGTAGTCTCAATGTCACACTTGACATCTCTGTAATATGTTCTTTTTGAGCATGGCATGATCATTCCTGATGGATGATAAAAAGCTAAGATTGGCATTCACAGCAATAGGGTGTAGGCGTGAAAAGGCACTCACCTGTTCAGCTCTACCAAAATAGTAGTCCTTCTTCGTATGGCCAAAAGCAAAAATGTAGGCCCCACACCATTAGGAAGCAGCTAATCTGGGGATTTGAGGGTAACTTTGTTTCACAGGGGGAGCAAGTGTTGAAAGCTGAGGTGTTGCCAGATTTTTAGGCACCCACACCATTAGGAAGCAGCTAGTCTTGGGATTTGAGGGTCACAATGTTGGATGTAGCAGGATTTAGACATCTAAATGCCATGTTAGATACTTAAATAATTTTGTGGATCTGGGACTTAATCTCTCTGGAATTGTTTTTTTACGCCACTAAGAGAATGTTGGATGAGGCAAGTTATGCCCAATGCAATGCCTATACCTCCACACCAAATATAATATTATATAAATGGAAAGATAAAAAAGAAAGAGAGAGAGCGCGTGAAGGAAAAGCCTACTATTAAAGACAAGCCTAGTCAAGAGTTCTTAAGATATAGGCTCCTCTAAAGTCATACAATACTTTCCTTTTCTGAGGTAAACTGTTACCTTCTGTTTTCAAATTAGGAGAAGGAAGTAATCAACTGTCATATCACTTTTATTTTCATACATAATATTGTGCGAATAAGGCTATTGTCCTATTTTACAGTCCCCTTTCCCATGTGTATTATGTACACATTGTCAAATTCACAACAGGTGTTAATTGAGTTGGGCCAATCCCTTCCAGCAATAAATCATTACATTCATGGCTAGAGTCCTAGGAGAAAAAAAATAAGACTTAGGGTCTGATGCTATTTCACCTGTTTGGCATCTGAGGAGCACCAAGCAACATTTAAGCATGTAGGTATGATCCTATTTTGGTCTGAGAAACTGTTAGTGCATCTATTTTGTAATTTCAGTTTAGACTTAAGCACCTAAATTACAAAAAATGGGGAAGAAGGACCTATCTATCTTTTGCCCAATAGCTTAGTAATTGGCCAGGATTTGAGAACATGAGTTGCAGACTCTCTTCAGCCTGAGGGCATTTCCCACGTCCCAGAAAAGTGCCCTTACTTCCACACAATGGGTAGGCAAGGTCTGATGGCATCCTATATTTCTTCAGACATTCTCCTGTTAGATGTCTTGTAGGTGGAATGGGATCTAGGCCTTAGACTATTTACTTACATAGTTGTTGTTCGCCATGTTTAAACTTCTACGATTCTTTATATACTTGTTCAGAGTTTGTTTTTCCTTTTGTTGTTGGGGTTTTTTTTGTTTTGTTTTTTACATAGGCATAACATTCTCTGATTAGGATAACAGGTTTTTCCAGCCTCTTACACAACTACTTCTTTTAATGGGGGTTATTAGCATATTCTATTAGAAGAACAAAGATTTGTGTAATGTAAATGGTAGTGTTAGAGTGGTGCTGTAATTTTAATGAAACATGCATGAGGGCAGAAGAAAAGTTAGATTAGATTTCCTAAATAGTTTAAAGAGTGCAAATTACTTTGACAGAGAATGTATTCTCCAACAAAACAGAGAATACCTTGACAGATATCTGAGAAACTATCTAACCTGTACTAGAGTTTGTGTAGTATTAGTCAGCTCCTTTAGTTCAGCTACTTCTGTGATATCTGTTTGAGTAGCATGGTCTGTGACAAAATAGCCTATTTTTAAGTCATCTGAAATGGAAGGCCTGAAAAAAAAAACAAACAAAAATTATTGAAGATGGATTATTAATTAACTTATGTTCTTAATTAACAAGCTGCCCGTAAGACCTGAATAGCTAACCAGCAATGATTAGCCAAAATATATTTCTTATTGCTTCTCTTAATGTACTTCTTTTAGAGAGATGGGTAGTATTTGATAGAGCAGAATAGGAAGTGTGCTTACAGTCTCCATTGCCTATGTTTGTTTCCACAAAGGGAAGTTTTCTAGTCATATATGCAAACTAAAATATTAGGTTTGTTCTTAAATGTAAGCCCTTGAAAGAGTACACACAACAGGAAAGACTGTATTATGTGACTAATTATACTTGTATATATACACCATTTCTTTAAAATAATTATCAGTCCAAGAGATACTAAATTTTAGAGCTGGGCATACTAGATTTTCTATTGATCAGTCACTGGGATAACAAACTTAAAACACCTCAATGTATTGCATCTCAGAAAAGCCAAAAACCCAGCATCAAGGCACATGACATGTAACTGCTGCCTTCTATACAAACTGCTAACTACCATTTTAAAAAATCCCTAGGTGCAAACTAATTTCCATGTCTAAATTGAGACTGAAAACTGGTATCTCATTTCATTTTCTTTTTAAATGCTATACAACTATAACAATAGACTATGCTTTCCTGTCCCATTCTTGGCCAAATCCCTCCTTTGACCTCACTCAGTCAGCTGACTTAAACCTCTCAGAAATAGTGCATCTGGCTAGTTAAATTAATCTTGAGGGGGAAAAATACGAAGTTTTGACAACACCCCCCTTAAAATATTAAGAGAGTATGGAGGGAAGATCAAGCTGAGATTTCACTTGCCACAGGACAGACATGTCAGCTTAAACTCAAAGTTAAGGCATCTACTCTTAACTGTAAAGCAGTTGGCAAAATGTGATTTAAACTGAGCTCTCCCCTGCCAGCCCCTTTGTTAGGTGAAACAATGCTAGTGGACTAGAATGCTTCCAGAAGCTGCTCCACCATGAGACCCTCTGAAATACTCTGAATGCAAGTGTTATCATATCAAGAACTTTGATCTGTGATCTACGGATTACTGATAGATCACCAGGGATCTATGTGGCTAGTTCATTCCTAGCACTATTTTCATGTTTGATAGCCAGAAACTCTATGTCTAATCCCGGGTCTGTTACTGACTCATTTGACCTCTTGCAATTATAGTTTTCTCAGTCCCCACATGATAGGAAGTTAAAACTCTGCTTCTGAACAAGGCTCTGCCACTGACTCAGTGTCTACCCTGAAGCAAGTCAATTAACCTTTCTGGCTGCATCCATACAAGCGTGGATATACAGTCTGCGATGCCTACATATGCAAAGTGTGACATTCTCCGCATTGCTACCTTACAGCATGGGGGGTTGGGAGGGTTGACCCCAGGAAATCCTGGGGTCAACAAAACCCACACCTTAAAAAAGCAGAGTGGCACATGTGGTGGTAGCGCACACTGCCCAAAACCAGAGCCTGGCCTGCCAGAGCCATGTTCCGGCTGCTGGCCAGGCTCCCAACTGCAGGAGTGCCATGGCTGCAGCTCCCTGAGCTTATCTGCAGGGAAATAAACAGGGGGACACAGCCTCTGTGTACTTTTTCATATCTGTAAAATGGGGCTACTTAACAACCTGGGATGATGGAATTTAAGGACTAAGTGTACTGATTAAATATACCTTTGGAATAAATTTGATTCATCTGGTTAAGAACTCATTTCAAAACAAAACACTTCAAAAATATTTGTTCACTTTTACTCATTCAAAATGGGTGCCTGTTGAAATAGATATTCTTGCATTAAGCAGCAAGAGAGTCTTCAAAGTAGTATAAAATCTTGTTTTTATTCATACACTAATTCTTCAGGCTCAGCCATGACACTTCATGACTACAGGAATTAGAAGAGTAACAACGGGTGGGCAAGTGAGGCATGAGTCCCAGGCACTACCTAAGAAGGGCAGCAGAATGGAACTAGAGGGGCACTTCATCCTCCTGTTCCCAGCCCCTACAGCCCCCCCCGCACCCTTCATTTTCCCTTCAGTCACTCCAGATTCAAGTTCAACAGCGGAGAGGGCAGAGCAGCAATGGCAGAGCAGCAATAGCAGCGTATAGCATGGGCGCAGTAGCAGCCAGAGGTTTGCTGCTGTTGAGGATGGGGTGAATGTAATCTATTTTTGCTTCCAAAAACTGGTGTTTAAATGGCTGTTCATCATGCATATCAGTGGCAAAAAAGGAAGCAACATCTGCCAATTTCAGCAGTGAACCCCTGGCCTCCTTTCCCACACCATGAGCTGCCACCACCCAGGGTAAAGTATAGGCCAGTTCCGCCTCTGACAAGAAAACACATTAGCCCTTAGCGTGTGCTGATAGAACGGAAGGCTTTGAATTGTATTTTCAAAGATTAACTAAATAGCTTATATGCAGAACTCCCTTTGATTTCAGGGTAAATTAGATGTCTAGTGGCTAAGAACCAGTACAAGACTTAGGAACCCATTAGGCATTACAGCACCTAACTTTACATTCCTGGCCACAAGTGAAACCCAAAACCCTGCGTTAGGCACTTGAGCTCTCTATACCAGTGATTCTCAGCCAAGACGGTGTGGCAGCCTGCGGTGCCTTGAAACCCTGTCAAGGGTGCCACACAGTGTTAGCACCAGTGTGTGCGCAATGATTCACAAGATAAACCCAGAGATTTCAAATAGGAATCCATAGTATTAAATGTATTCTGACCTACTGTGTCTTTCTGAGGTCTCTGCAATAAAAAAATTGCTCATTTATTTTTATTATAGAAACACTGTAGAGTGAAAAGTAAGAGCTGGCATTTTCTAAGGGTATCCTGAGTCTAAAATGTTGAGGACCACTGCTCTATACACAGTGGGCAGAATTATCTTAGAAAGCATTTGTTTAGAACAGTAATTCTCAGTCAAGGTGCTCAGAAATCCTTTCAAGGGTACCATGGGGTGCCATGCAATGTTAGCACTATGAGATGTAAAAATGGGATTTACAAGATAAACCCAGAGATTTCAAATAGGAATCCATAGTCATAAAAGCATTCTGACCTACTGTGGCCTTTCTAAGTTCTTTGCAACAGAAGAATTGCTGTATTATTTTTCTGTAGTCAACAAACAAGTACAAAATAAAAGCTAGCATTTTGCTAGGAGAGTCTTCAGCATAAAAAGGTCAAGAACCACTGGTGCAGAACCACTCTTACTCTTCAGACTGACCTTGTTTACATACACAAAAGACCTATCAAGGCTCAATCTAACATGATCAGTTTGCAAAGCCAGAAAAATGAATGATTTGAATAAGTTAATTTTACTCACCCAGTTCCTTTCTATTTTTGTACTATGTCAATAAACCTAGATCAACAACTTAGATTCCACTACTACATAAGTCCCCTCATCAAGAACTTTAAACTAACAGGCTGGTTTGGTTTCTGGTACTGGCCCAGCCCTGTCCACTACTGCGCTCGCCTACCAGAAAAGCAGAGTTGCTGCCCCAGAGTTTGCCGAATGCAAAATAAGCAAGCGGACACAGCTGCCATATCAGAAGAATGCTATTTATTTTAACTAAACGGTATCAAAGAAGATGGCAGGGGAACAGAAAGAGAGCAGCACACACCTTTAAAGGCAGACATCTGAGAAGAACAGGAAGAGAGAGGCAGAGAGACTGACAACTCTTAGAGAGATGCTCCTGAGGACCCCTGGAGGGTTCAGGACACAGCTTCCCAAACTCTTCCTCAGCATGACCCCTCGTCTGGCCCCATCTCCCCACCCACAGCCCCTCCCCCCACCATGTTGCAGCTGCATTTGGGGTTGCGACCCACAGCCTGGGAACCGCTGATTTAGGAACAGGCACAACCCGACGCCGCGAGGGCCTCTCGCACTGCTCAGCACAGCCAGGCCCGCGGGACGAGGGGTGCGGGCGCGAGG